TTTTAACTGATATATTACAAATTTAGTGATTGCAAACACCACTGGCTCCTCGTTCGGGCTTACTACTGCCACTGGTGGCAAAATTTGGAAGAGACAAAAACCCCATAGCCATAATTTTTTAAAATGGAAGTGAGACGAGAAATGGGCAGGGGAGGGGGGTTAAAAATTAGTGCATCGACACTGGATCATTTCAGTGGTGGTAGGATGAATTTCAGGGATCTTCCGGGCGGCGGTACCGAGTGGCGCATCGACAGGTGTGCATGAGGCGTTGGAGCTGCGCGACCAGGACAAGGCCGTACACCATGGCAAAGGTGTGCTGCAGGCCGTCAAGAATGTCAACGAACAGATCGGACCTGCACTTGTCGCTAAAGTTAGTCCGTGCTAAGTACTAGCGTTTCTTCTCAGTGTTTTTATTTTATGGCTTTTCGAAAATAAGTATGGCTTGTTTTGCGTCATTGATTTTTTTTTTTTTTGGAGGAGGGGATGATAAAAGCTTGTGAAGAAAGCAACACACAATGCATGGAACTGGTTTTTCGTGCAGACATTCGTCTGTTACTTAGAGAGCGATGATGTTTTACTGATTCCGCTTCGCTAAGGAGGCTTGAAAGCACGGAGAATAACAGCCCACATACCGTTAAAAACAATTATTCCTTTGATATGTATTGCCAAAATTCTCTTTAAATCCGCTTCCTGTGAAAGATGAAAGTAGCCTCCGGTGATAACGCGCGCCAAGAGCAACCACTCGTTGGTAAATTTGCGAATGACTCCTCTTCCGAAAGTTGCTTAGAAGCAACTGGTAGCGAATTTGGCTCACCGGTATGCGCCTTTTCTAGTTTACTACCGGAAGTGTCACTGCGCAGACTAAGCCCTTTAGTATCTTGTTTCATTCAGTAATTTTATACAGTGAGCTGTGCATTCACAAACAACATTTGCACAAGTACTTGAAAATACAACAGAAATGCTACAGAAAAGAAAAAACAGTTTTTGCTGCAAGGGAAAAAAGTTAAAGGAACTTTTGTCAAAAAAGTTCTCAAATTTTTAATTAAAAACGGTTTTCCAAAGAATGTTTGCTCCAGAAATCGCTTTTTTGAACAAATTATGGTACCATGAAAGAAACTGAACGTTTTTGGAATAGTTTGTTCGTATTTCCCAAACTGCGACGGAATTGCCTGAGACTGTGCTTCGCCGAAGATGAAAGGCTAAATGTGATTTTTGTTTTCCAGAAAATCTGCCCCACACAGCAGCGTGAAATCGATCAGTTTATGTTGCAACTCGATGGAACCGAAAACAAGGGTAATTGCTCGCCAGAAATGTACTTTATATTTCAAACTTTGTTCCCCCTTCACGTTTTGCACTGTTTGTGAAAGCAGCTGAGAAAATATGACAATACCCTTGGTGCCCACTGGGAAATGTCTTTGCAAAGCATAAAAGAGTGCAAGTGACTCATTTTTCCCTCTTCATGATAAATGCTTTTTGTGCATTTTATTGAGCAAAAAAGAACCTTGGCACATCATTTTACAACTTTTCCTAAATATAAAATTGCTCAAAGAGGCGGCGGAACTCGTTTGTGAGGAAGCATTTGCAGTCCTTCCCTTCGAAAATTTAAATAATATTCCCTGCATCTCTTAGGTGCCGAAGGAAGTTATCTAGGGAATGCATGAATTTCTGGATATTTTCAGGGAAGCTGGGAGCAAATGCAATTTTGGGCGTTTCGTTGGCGGTATGCAAAGCTGGCGCAGTGCATAAAGGCATGCCTTTGTACAAGTATATCGCTGAGTTAGCTGGCACCAAACAGGTTGTCCTGCCCGTCCCGGCAATGAACGTCATCAACGGCGGGTCGCATGCCGGCAACAAACTCGCCATGCAGGTATCTCTGGGTTACTTTTCATTGTCTTCAGATTTCAACCTCATGTATGTGATGCATGCTTGTTAATATTTTTTGTTCTTTTTTTTCTGGGAAACCTTCCTGACGGATTGCGGTAGCCTGGAAGCGTTTAGTCAACCCTGGCTGAGGTGAACCCCGTTATTCGAAAAGTTACAGTCAAATTTTCAAAATTAAACTGAAAAATTAGCAACAAGGGACATAAAAAAAAGGAATGCATAGCAAGTTTTGTTCGATTAATGAACACATACTGAGAAAGCTAACAGGAGCGACAAGCACTGTACTGGCTGTAAAGAAATGTGGTTCAGGGATAGCGTTAAAATCGCGAGCATGATGGAGAGTGGTCCTTAAACTATTCATTTCCGGGGTCCTGTGTTTATCCCCAGCAGAAACTTCTTTCTTTTGAATAATGTGCTGTAAAAAACCATTTGTTATTTGTAAATTCCGGGCGTTTTTTAGGAATTCATGATCATGCCTATTGGCGCGAAATCGTTCAGCGAATCAATGCGTATGGGTTCCGAGATATATCACCATTTAAAAGTAACTTTTATGCGAACTGCTTTATTGAATATTCTTCATAATTTCTAATTTTGCGCTTTTTTTCTTCGATTTTGACTGGAATATGAGAGATGTAGCTCTCCTTCTTCCCCCCTTTGTCCTCCCCGGTGCTTGTTGTTTGTGAGTCGTAATCAAGTCGAGAGGGGGCGTGCGCTGTGAAACATTTCAGGCGGAAATTAAAAAGCGATACGGACTTGATGCGACAGCAGTTGGAGATGAAGGTGGCTTTGCTCCAAACATCCAGGACAATAAGGAAGGTCTGGACCTACTGAATACAGCCATTGCAACTGCCGGTTACACTGGACGAGTTTCAATTGCGATGGATTGCGCTGCATCAGAATATTACAAGGTTAGTGCCGTTGTTTCTGTTTATGATGGTGCCCTTTTGTTGCCCTCTTCATCCGCGCATTTTCAGGAAGCAGATAAGCTGTATGACTTGGACTTCAAAAATCCCAACTCTGACAAAAGTCAGTGGAAGACTGGCGATCAGATGATGGAAATTTACCAATCGTTCATTCAGGTTTGCTTTTTGACCGTACTTTATTTCGGTCCATGCGAATCCCTCCACATCGTTTTTGAGCCGTATTGTATTCTGTATTTCTTCCACATGCATTTTTAACATAATGACGAATTTTTTAGAGAAGTTGATGCACATTTTATTCAGATAAAATGTTTTTAAAAAAAGCTTTCTAGGGAGGTGGGAGAATGCAGCCTATTTCTCTTTTTTCGCTATTTCTAATCGTTTCAGCCGCAGTTATGAAAGTTTTGAAAACTTATCTAT